GTAAAATTTTATAGATGGCAGTAGCCAGATTATTTGACATTGCCTTTATCTGAGCAGTACCACTATGGAGAAGAGATCAATATTTTTAAGATGGTTGGTGTGGTGTTGTAGTCACTGTGTCCAACAACCATGTAAAAGGAGGCTTCAGTCACTATGTTGATCTGGTCTTTTTGCAGATTTTGATTCTCCATCTCAAACATTCCTGCTTCAGGGATCCTTTAATTCCTAAGCTAGTTTACAGCCGTCATATTGATACAGTACCATATTTTACAATCATCTTTTGTAACATTCTTGAACTTGAAAATTTTTGAAAATAGCCAGCTATGGTACCAAACGTTTGTATTCCTTTGACGGGGAGTCTCACAAACAAGATTTCCTAATTGCTGCTAGATGCCTACACACAATCTGAATGTGTGGTGTTTTGAAAGTAAAGCCACAGGTTCTAAATTTTAAAATTTGATATTTTTGAAATTTAGCTGCATGTTCAATGATTCAGAATAAAAAAAGATATGTTAATGAACAATAATAACATAATTAACAGTGAAATAATAAGGTTTTATAATATTTATTAATATTGTATGAATGTTTATATTCTATACCTCTGGTTTTTGCATTTGTTGTTTTCTCTGATTGTTGTGTACCATCCAGAGTCATTTTTGGCAAGATGGGGGAACTATATAAATTTGATAAATAGAATAAAATAATATATTTAGAAAAAAGTTATTATGGGTTGTACCTCAGGGATCCTCAACCTCTGCTCCGTGACCTGCTATCGATCCATAACTGGTCCATGCAAGTGGCAGGCAAGATCCATTTGTGCATGTGCGAGATTAGGTTTCATGCGCAAAACCATCCCTTCTCCCTGCCACCTGCTGCCACAATCATTGCCTGTCCACAGAGACCGAAAGGTAGGGGACCACTTTGCTGTACTTGTTATCCTTGAGAATGGTGAATACTGAGTGCAATGTGTCCATGGAGATTCTCAGTCATCCAGGTGATGGTTGTCCCAAAGGTGCTTTTTCAAGAGGCAACTGTTTTTCTGGTTTTTCTTTGAAGACGTTTCGCTTCTCATCCAAGAAGTTTCTTCAGCTCTGACTTCCCACCATCCAGTCACAACTGAAGAAGCTTCTTGGATGAGAAGTGAAACATCTTCAAAGAAAAACCATAAAGTCCAATTGCCTCTTGAAAAAAAAGCACCTTTGGGACTAAGTGCAATACTATATCAAGGAATATGTCTTTTGTAGTTGGTCTACTTCGGTACAGGTAGATTTATGCCTTCAGTTTAACCACGTGTGAGAGCTTGTGATTCTATGGAATCCTGGATTCTGTGCAGCCCAAAATGTGAGTCTGTCTTTAGTAAAGTCACAGCTTCCTTCAACCATGTATGGCAACCTAAGGCCTTGGAATATATCATTGCAGCTCCCAAAAATTTCCAGCATCAGTGCTGAAATCTAGCACAATCTTGTGGTATCAGCATCATCCAATGTATATATTTGTTTATGTAAATAAAGACATAAACTTCTGACTCCTTCACCTCCCAACATTGTTGTTTTACCAGGAGGGGGCGGGGAGGAAATGCACTCTTCAGCTACAAAAAGGTGACCTATTACTGGCATGAAACCTAGTTTACATTAGCCTTTCTTCATATGTAGAAGGATGGCCAAAGAAAGACCAAATGTGTCACACAGAGAAAACCTGCCTAAGGTCAGAAAGTAAGGTCAGTAATAGTAAGATCCTCAGTATAATGAGTCTGCAAAAAAAAAAATCTGAAAAATATAAAGAATGTGTTATGAAATAACTGCATAATTTTTAATCCTTCTTGGCAGGAAATTTAAGAAAGACTGGGATTAACGAACACATTTAAAAACAAGTTAAAAGGAAACCAGGCCTAAGAGTTCAGCTCTTCTCTCCCAGGGTTGGGCCCTCAGCTGTCTGAACAAACAAACAAATATGTTTTCCTCTCCTGAGGCACTATTTAAAAACACTGTAAAATTAATATATGTATATCTTTTCTCTCCTCACCCAATTTTCATGTCAACAAATTAACATTTTCCAGATGTTGAAAAGGATCCTTTTTTGCACCCAGAATCCAAACATGACAATCCATAAATACTTTTTAAAAAAATATTTTCCTTCAAAATTTCACAGAGTTTTTGAATATCTTTTCTTCCACTCGGTGTCATCTAAGAGACGACATCAGTCAGAGCAGTATAATTTTTATTTCTTCCCTGTTCCCTCCAATCTTTTTTTCGATAACTGAATTGTAGAGGAAAAACTAAGTTTCCCTTTGAAAAAGGAAAAGCAAAGGTTACACATTTTGAAAGTATACCCAGCCCCGCAGCGAAAAATAGTAGGGAAACTTTCTCACTCCCCAAAATAACGTTATCTACCAAAACGAAGATGAATGAAAACAATTATTTTCCTAGATTGTTTTGTTTAGATGTAAATATAAAGTGAGAAAAAAATAAGGAAATGCATGTGTACTAAAGCAGAGCTGGTCCAGCAATGAGAAATATTTTTGACAGACCACAAAGCAGCTGAAAAAACTTTAGACAGCTGAAGATGCCACTTGTCACATTCCATTGGTCAAGTCCCAGCTAATGTGTTCCTTCAGTTCCTGCTGCGAAAGGTTATTCTATCCCACATAACACAAACAAGGAGTGGGTTGGTATCGAACCAACACAAGCAAAAATCCTATGATTATTTCTTGTTGCTTCCATCCAAAGACAACAAATACCACCACTTTCTCAGTCAGCTTTTCATAGATGTGAAGTTCAAAGGGCCATATTATTCTGCACATTTAAAACGAACAGGCAAAGTCAGTTGTGTTAGAATGTACCATATTTTTCGGAGTATAAGACACACTTCCCCCTCTCCCCAAATGTGGATGGAAATGTCTGTCTCTTATACAGCAAATGTTGCCGAAGTCCCACCCATCTGCCAGCCTCCATCCTTTGGCCTCTGCCTCCCAGCAATTTACCTCCTTGCAGCAAACAGCCTGGTCAGCTTCAGCACACCCTGATTAGCAAAGCAGCTGATTGTCAGTAGGATCGGCCTCCCGACGATCAGCCTTTTCAGGCTGCAGGGATTGCCATCGCCTATTGCCGCTTCCATGCACCCCATTTTTGGCCACCGTGCACCCCATTTTCATGGGGCACGAGAAGGCCAAAAATGGGGCGTACGGAGGTGGCAGTAGACAATGACCAGGCTGTTTGCTGCAAGGAGGCAAATTGCTGGGAGACAGAGGCAGATTTTTTTTGTTTTGTTTTCCTCCCCAAAAGCTAGGTGCATCTTATATTTTGGAACGTCTTATACTCTGAAAAATACTGTAACTCACAAAATTTGCAAAATATCACAGCAATTTTATCAGCTTGGAATTCTAAGCAGCACTTCAGCAATGGATGCCAAGTTAAGGCTGATGTCAGCACTCATTTTATATCTTCATGAAATGCTAATTGGGGTTACTAAGAAAATAACTGAAATTATACTTTGTTAAGCTTGCCTCTTTTTTATGTTATTTTTAAAATGTTTTTAATATTTTACTTGTCCATTACCCGGGGTTCCTCTGTGAGGGAGATGGACAATCTTTAAAAAAATGATAAATAAATATATAAATAAATAAATTGCCAACCATGGTCTCTGCAGAGAAAACTCTACACAAAATGAAATTCCACTGCTCCCATAGATATGAAAACACCTGATAGGATCTTCTGATATCAATTGTATAAATGCCCCAATAACACTTGTATATATCAATTGGGTTGGTATTTATACAATATCAATTGTATAAATGACCATCTTACATGGTGGAGCTCTAGAAGAAAGCAATGAAATACATCATTAAGTTGCTGCCTAAGTTCAAACTGATTTTTTATGGCATATATTTCTAATACCAACAACATTTCTCATTGAAAGTTAGGTGTGCAAAGCCTTCTTTAAAGTAATATTAGCTGTTTTATTTTAAGAAGCATCGCTGTACTTTTCAGAGTTCTCCCTCCCCTGCCGATTACTTTCTGGTTAACATTACTCATTACATAGCCCTTGTGATCTGCCTTCATCCTATTTTTTTTTCTCTTACCCATTCATCTCAAGCAAAATGCGCATTTCTTCTTACGTAGATAATAGAATTGTGACACTTTATATGCCACAAAGCTGGATATCCAGCTCCAATCCTTATCCCAAAGTCTTATATTTGCTCTTATTTTCAGAGGGTGCTTGCTTCTGAAAACAAAATTCAGGAGTCAAAACAAACAGCATAAAACCTGTAAATTACAGTATTTTAAAACAGCATGTTTGTTTCTTTGTCAAAGAGGGACTAACATTTTCTCTTTCACTCTGGCACCCAGTAAGCAACAACTGATCATCAGTGCTATCTCTGGAGAAAATGAATGCATAAATCAGGTTGGGCTCAAGTAGCTCTTATTTCAGCTCCACTTTTTTGGAGTCACAGTTGTCTGGCCAAATGCATCATTCTGTGATCACTTAAGATCTGCAAACACTCAATTTCCATTTCCTGAAATTAAGACCAATAAACGCAGCATCTTAGCAGAAGGATATACAGGGAGTCCTCAACTTCCAATCATTCATTTAGTGACCGTTCAAGGTTACAACAATGCTGAAGAAAGTGACTTATGACCATTGTTTTTACTTAGGACCGTTGCAGCCTCCATAGGGACATGTGATCAGAATTCAGATGCTTGGCAACTGGCATGTACTTATTATGGCTGCAATATCCCTGCGGTCATGTGATTGCCTTTTGTGACAAGCAAAGTCAATGGGGAAGCCAGCCCATGTTGTTAACTGCAGGATTCACTTAACAACCATGGTGAGAAAAGGTTGTAAAATGAGACAAAACCTGCTTAAGAATTATCTTGCTTAGCAACAGAAATTTGGGGGCTCTAAGTCAAGGACTACCTGTACACCTCTGATACTGGAAATTCTAAGCCTTTAAAATGAAGGCCAGGCTTGCTTTCAAAATGAGGCAAGGGATTACAAAGTACCTCCTTGGGTCACCACCGCTGCTGTGGCTGCAGCTGCTAAAGGAACTGGTTTCTTCGTTGGTTCACTAAAGCCATTGTCTTCCAGAAGGACACTTTTCTCTTCTTTTTTCGCAGAAGCCATTGATGTGGATGTTTCCATCTTAGACATGCATATTCCAGCTTCTGAGTCCTTAAAAACAAAACAAAAAAGTTCAGAGTTTCTTTTTCTTTCCCATTAAAGACACAAAAAATTGCTTTGATGGAAATGCTTTCATCCTATTCCAAAAGATAATTAAAAGCAATAACAATAAATATTGGTTTAATCGCTCATCAAGATTTTTTGTTAATTATACCCAGAAAGGATCTGAAGCCACATTTTTCTAAACTATGGTTGACTTAAGATTGATGTATACATACACACACACATTCATACAGGATATACCAAACATCGAACCTGTGGACCAATCACAATGTTTTGTCATTTTTTTTCCAGATAAAATGCTTGGATAAAATGCTTGGAAAATGCTTTTTTCCAGATAAAATGCTAGGAACGTTTGAATGTCATGTGTCAAACAAGGAAGTGTTTAGAAGAAAATGGCAAACAATTTAAACTTTTAATGTAATTTGTATAATAAATTGTCTACGGAGCCTGACTTTGTATATACCCTGCACATATTCATTCATTTTTCATTCTATTAGAATACCATGCCCTCTGCTTAGTACAACTTTAGAGTGAACTGCTAGTTAAAATTTGGTAAGTAGAACAATTAGAAACTTCAAGAATATTTGTATCCTTTTACTGGAAACCAGAAAGGAGACTTGTTCACTACCCTTCTGGAGTATTTACCTAATCTAAGAAATCAATCTTTTATTCTGGACCCCTAAACACTACAGGTAGTCCTTGACATACAGCAGTTCATTTAGGGACCATCTGAAGTTACAATGGTACTGAAATAAGTGATTTATAACCGTTCTTCACACTTATGACCGTCACAGTATCCCTATGATCACAGGATCAAAATTGGGACACTTGCCAACTTACTCCTATTTATGATGGTTGCAATATCCTGGGGCCATGCGACTCCAGCTTTTCTGATCTTGTGACAAGAAAAGTCAATGGGGCAGGGAGATTCACTTAACAAATTGCAAAAAACGGTCATAAAATGAGGCAAAACTCACTTAACCATTGTCTCACTTAGCAGCAGAAAGTTTGGGCTCAATTGTGGTCTTAAGTTGAAGATTACCTATATTTCTGAATTAAGATCAGGGAACCCTCTTCTGTATGTTTTCCAAGGAAAATCAAGGAAAGCAATCCGTCCAATGCCCCCTGCAACACTGACACTGAGGCAACATCCCATACCCTGAGGATTCTGCCATGCTTCATACAGCTTAGCGTTGCTTTTCTAGCAATTGGAGCATTTTTTTTCTGCCTTTGGATAGGCCTCTATCACAGCACTGCATGCAAAGCATGGACTTGAACACTGAGCTATAGCCCAACTCCTGTCCTCCTTGGAAAAAGATACTCTAATAAAGGTGTAGCGCAACAACATTCTAATAAAAAACACTCATGCATCTTAACATCTATTGAGCCACCACTTGGCTGTTGATTGCTGTATACTTCGTTGTGCTTCAGTAACTCTTTGTTGTGGTCAGTCGGCAGCAGGTGTGGACGACTGAGGAGAGCGAGGACTCAGATGAGGAGCCAGGACCATTAGGTAGTGGACTGCTGCCTTCAGATATTGTGGGGATTGGCAGAAGTGATGAGGAGGTTCTCGAGGAGCCTGTGCCAAGTGCGCAGGATTGCTCGTAGGAAAGAGCAGCTACAACAGGACAGGCGACTCGGGAGTAAGGCTGCAACGTAATGGCCCCTCCTTCAAAAAGATAAAAGCCAGCTGTGAAAGGAATGTACTTTGCAGAAGGCAAAGACATTTTGAAACCCCAGCCTCGTGGACATTCCAGTATCCTGAATTTGTATTTGAAGATTCTTGTATTACAAAATATTTCTTGTCTGTTATCTTTTGGCAAGTCTCACAGAGTTTGGCAAGGCTTGTGCTTATCACAGCTAATCATTTTGTAAAAGCATTACAAGGTTTCTTTTCCTTTTGGATTGTGTTTGATTTGTCGGAAAAGGGCGTGGGTCAGAACACTCTTACCTCTGAGCCTTACCTGCTACTGGCTCAGAAGGTAATAGAAGAGAACTCTAAATTGACAAAGATGCCGATCCCTGCTGTGTTTTGAGTTTGAGGGGGTAAAGCATCCATTCGTGATGATCATGTGGTTGTGCGTAGCATATAATCAGCTACATATTACTGAGAGTGAGCATAATTTATGAAGTAATCCTATTCCAAATGCCTGTCAAATTTTAATTTTATTCCTGCCAAACTGACCCGATTCCATATGTTTCTATGTCCTCATTTTCTAAACCGATCACAAATGGTTCATTCTTATTTCAAAAGACACTGGAAAAAGTTCATTACGTGTTTTTATTAAAATAGACTCTGCATTTTTCCCATGCAAGAAACACACATATGCACATAAAACACATATTAAGTGCAGTTTTCAAAATACTAGACAACACTTCAACAAGTTCATTTTGCACTTAGGACAAATCAAGGACTCACACTTTTGGAATATTACACTTTTTCTGTTTTATAAGTATCTTGATGGCTCCAGTGTCCAACAGAAGAAAAACATTAGAAGTGATATTTATGTTTAATGAGGTTCATACATCTGAGAAGGAGCTGGTCTATAACTTGTGGACCTCCTTGGATTCATTGTAGCTGCTTGAAAAACTAGTTGAGGCTGTGACTGAGAATACTTTCCCCCAGATTTGGTAGGTGCACCAGCTATAGCCTTACTAAGACTACAAAGCCCCAGTTATTGCAACTCACTCTTATCACTACACTAGATTACTACAACACACTCTCCAGGGGACTGACTTTGATGTTACTCAGAGGAAAAACTAATACAGAATGCAGTGGCCAACTGTTAGCAGGGGAAAACCACTATTGCTAAGGAACCTCTGTTTTGTGATTGCTGTACTGGTAACCAGTAAACTTCTGGGCCCAATTCAAATTGTTAGTTATTTCTTTTACAGCTTACATGGCACACCATCTGAATCAGTGGTGGGATTCAAAAGTTCCCACCACTGGTTCTGTGGGTGTGGCCTGGTGAGTGTGGCTGTGAGGGGGAGGTCGCGCGACTCATGCAACACTTGCACACACGTTAAAACAGTAAAAACTAAGCTACTGCACCTCTCAGCTGTTTAGCACAGCAATCCGCTCTGCTGCGTCAAACAGCTGAGAGGTTAAAAAGGACCTAGGAGCAGAGGCAGGCAGGTGAGCCCAACTGTAGAGCGTCATTTAAGCGAACCAGTTCTCTGCCAGCTGATCTTTAGCGCTACCAGTACACTAGAACCAGGCCGAACCAGTAGAATACAACCACTGATCTGAATGCATAATGAATCACCTAGTATAAAGTGAATCTGCATTTCTCATGAGATCATCTGGAAAGGGTCTGATCAATACATCATCATGGCATGCAGTTACAGGGGCATGGACTAGAAAGCAGATCTGCTCTGGTGCAGCCTCCATATTGTAGACCTCTTTGCCTCCAGAGGTAGAGTTGGTGTCTCTCACTTCTTAAATGATAGAAGGTACGATAAAAACCTTTCTTTTTAAATAGTCTTTTGTAGCCTAAGTTATATTGGTGGGCATCAGATATTTTTACTGCTCCCAAATTGACACTAACAAGGGGGGTGGGGATGGGGAAATTCCTTAATTCACTGGCACCTATAAATTATTTGTCTTTAAACCTTTTAATTTTTCTGTCCTATCAACTCTAGTGTGGATTTAGCTTAGAAATACAATTCTGAGACCAAAACGTTTGGAAACGTTTGAAAGTTATGTAAATTAATTAAGATATGAAAAATGATCATAATAAATTAGATTTTACAAGTATCAAAACCTTCAGATACATTAATTCATGAAATTAACCTTGTTTTAAGAATTTCATGGAAGGGTTTCAAAATGATTTCTACATAGGTTTTTACCAAATCCAAGTGACATTTCATTCCACATATAATACTATTTCTTCAGATGACTTTAGATTTTCCATTTTAGGCTTGAACATGTCTATTCAAAAGAAAATCTAGATGTATTATTGATTGATATGTACTAAAAGTTAAGTGATTTCCTCAAATAATAAAGTGATTGTAAATAGTTGAATTTAACTAGTATTCTCAATTGTAGAAATATCTATTCTAAAAATGTTGCCTCATACTACTTGCTATTTAGTGGCAAGATATATAAATGGATAATAATTTGTTAGTTTAATAATATTGTCTGATTAAGCAGGTTACAAATAGGATATCAAGTTTTTTGGTTCTTGATGAGGCAGCAAGCATTCAGTTATGACCAAACATTGTTTTCTGAGCAAAAGCCATCCCACATTTGAATAGGAAATAGAAATATTTTATTAATATATGTATTGCCCTAGTCACCATCAAGAATTATCTGAGAAATTTTGCTGCCAGTAGCAAAAGAATAAATGTTACATCCCAATATTAGATAAAGGAACATACAAACCTGGGGCAAACCAAGTTACTTTGTTACCCACAAGTATCTCTCCTCATCCATATTATAATATATATGTGTGTATGTATATATATATATGTGTATGTGTGTATGTACGTACGTACGTACATACATACAATAAGAATTCAGTACTGACTAATAAATTCCATTCTCCTTGAGTGATGGAAGCCTGCTGGATCAGAAAAACAGTTATGAAATCAATTAACAGTCTCAACTACACTTTCCAGACATGATTCAACCAAACTAAATATGAGCTTATAGAAATCTTATTACCAGGAACTTGTAGATAGCGTAGAATCATTTCCTAGTTTCTTCTGAAGAGAGACTTTGGAGAGGTGAGGTATCAAAGCTGCCCCTGAAACAATCACATTTCATCCTAAAGGTATCTGGTCTTCAGCACACAAGCTGCATGCAAGACACTGTTGTAATGGGTAAAAATAATCTTGAGAACATGAGAAAGAGCTGTAGCCTACACAACCCTCTGATAAGCCAACAAAATCTCTCCACTAATTACATCCTCTAGGTTAAAAAGCTCCAGATAAGGTGCAACCTATAGGTGCATTTGTCCAAACTATTTGTTTGGTATTTCTGGTAA